CTTATTGGGATATTTGTTAGCTCCTTATGAATAATTTATGAAGTATTATAAATATGATGAGTGAAAAAGAAATACCTTTAACATTGAAAAAGCCTGTTATTTTGAGAACTCACGTTGCAAGAAAGAGAGGAAGAGAAGAAATATTTAGACTGAGGGTGGAGCTATATAGGGAGGTAGATTGAGATTGAAAGTGAAAGCAAGAATGAGATCTAGATCGTGACAAGAAAAGATAAGAAAGGATTTCCTGGGTATTTTAAGAATGGGTGGAATGGAAGATGAATGGAGAAAGTAGATGGGTCTTATTAGTAAAAGTGGATAACCCTAACTCAAAAGGTGGAAAGTAATTTTGGTTTCAATTTTATTTCTTGTCTAATAGGTTATGATTTTTGTGAAATGTGAAAAATTAATTTGTAAGTTTAATTTGAAGTTTGAGTTTGATTGGGTATGTATAGGTGTAGGATAACACATATTATTTAATAATTCATTTATTTTAAATATAATATAAAAATAAATATATATATATATGATTACCGAGTTTGGTTGGGGCTTGAAATGACATATCTAAGGTCTAACCCATTTTGTAAACAGGTTTAACATTTATGTCCAAACCTTCTAAAATTTTGGATGGGATTTTAGGCTTGGGTAAGTAATCTGACCCTTAGACAGGTTTATTGCTCGACATTAGCATTTGCATTCCATCTAGCCATCTAGAAGGAGCAAGTCAGAGTAAAGCAATATAATAACTAGGGTAGTAAAGTATCTAAAGTGATTGCAAACTATTTAGAAAACATAAGGAGCAAGCAAGTCCCACAAAAATGGAATATTGATTATGAACGATTTAAAAAACATAGGGATAAGCAAAATGCCTTAAAGATGGAGTACTATACATATAAAAAAATGTCATTTGAAAAATAAATAAGTATTATATTATACTTTACTAAATTGATTGAGGTGATTGATTTATTTTGTTCATATTTCCCAAGTTTATGAAGCTACAAACCTTGCTTTACCTACCTTTTTCAACTTTTTGATAAGAAACATAGGGCAAAATTAAGGAAAAACATTAAAAAAAATTCATAAAACAACTACTCAAGGTTGGTGATTTTTTTTTTGTTTCTAATTTCTTTATTCTTTCATTTCATTGGCTGGTAAGGGAAATTTTGATTGGAATTTAGTGAAGGAAGCCTAAATTACCTACAACACCCTCATCTTTCTTTTCTGTTTCCTTATTCCTCAAAATCTCCTCTTATTTTCGTTCCTTTATTGCTATAGGTTCTAACTTCCCCCACATCCCCCTCCTATAACTTTGCCTCTCCTTTTTTTTTTTTTTTTCATTTTGCTCTCATCCCTTTCTTAAATTCTCATTTCCTCTTTTCCACATTTCCTTTCTCCCCCCTAACTCTTTATTTTTTCTTCTTTCAATTTTTTATGGTAAATTATTCCATGTCCTTATATTTTAAAATAACTATCATTTTGGTCCTTAAATTTTAAAAAATAACATTTTGATCCCTATATTTTGTTGGTCGCAACAAAACTATCGTTCCATCCGTCAAATATGTGGAATGAAAAGATAAAAACCAATTACAAAGTAGGATAATTGATTGATAATACTATAAGTTTAAGGTTAATAGATAAAATAATTATAAAAAAATAAAAATTTGATAAAATTTATTTTCTTAATTTATTCTTATAGATATTAATTCTTATGTATCTTTATGGTTATTTTTGTGATGCTAATTTTTAAATCAATTAATAATATTTTATTTTTTCAAGAAAAGATTTGTTAAGTTGTAGTTATACTTACTTTAAATTGAGTTGTCAACCAAATCTGCTAGTTAGGCTCAACTCGATTAAGTTTTGAACATGATTTTTAAGGTCTTAGCTTGATCAAATCAAATTATTATTTTATCAATAAAATATTTTTATTTAATTTGTATTTTAAAAAATATTTTTAAATATTAAAATATTAATATAAAAATATTTTTTAATGTTTTAATTTTTAATAGTAAAATGGGCCTATTCAAGTTTCTAATGGATAACTCAAATTGGATTTTGAGCAAGACTTTGAAAGTGCCATCCAAGTTTTACTCGGTTCATGAAAATCTCTTATTGTGATCCAAATAATTAAATTTGTAATTTTCTTTTAATAAGTGATATTGTGAAATTTCTAATATTTTAATGAAAACTATATACTAATATTTTATAATTAAAAAACTTGGTTTTTGAAGAAATATTTATGATGATGAAATATTGTAAAATAAATATCAAATACATGATGAAATATTTTATGATGATGTATAATCTAATTGTATGTTTTAAATATACAATAAATAAATTTGAAGAAAATAGGTAATTTTCATTTTCAAGATACAGGCTTCTTTTTTTATCCTAAAACGAAATCCAAAAAATATTCACTAACAAAATTAAGAGTAAAAAAGAAATTTTATTTTTATATAATTATCAAAATTACTGGTATTAAGTAAAAAGTTTTATCATCACTGTTTTTTCTAATTTTATCGTTGATTTAATGATGTGTTAAATGTTGGAATTTAATAACTATATTAATATGTTGTTAAATGTAGGACTATTTTATTATGACCATAAAAATATAGAAATCAATATATTATTTTTTAAAATTTAGAAATCAAAATAATATTCACTTCAAAATTTACGCATTGTGAGAGTAATTTACCTTTTTCTTATGTTAAATTATCACAAATACCTTAAACAATTATAAAAATGTCATCAGTGTCGTGAAAAAGACATGTGGCATGCACGGATGGTAAGGTAGTCTAAAAATCTATTAATATAAAAATATTTGAATCTAAAATATCATAAAAATTCATGAATAAAAATGTTAAAAGATGAAAATATTTTCAACAATCTATGTTAGATAAGTTCGCATGCATAAGCCTTCAGACATGATATATATGTAACAAATATAGTACTATTGACAAAGCCGGATTAGGCTAGATCCCCATTAACACTTTTAGGAAATGTTTGGTGCATAAAATTGATAGGATAGAATGATAATTATTTTATATTATATTTTATTTGTATATAGAAAAAGAAAGATAGAGATTGTAAGGAGGATTAATATTTTTTTAACATAAGATTATTCAATCATCCCCAAGTGGAGAGGATTATTTGTAATTTATTGGATTAAACTTACATATCTAATTATACTCTTAAAAATTACATCAATAATTTAAATTGTATAAATTTTGAGGAGGGATAATTTTGACAGATAAATAAATTATTCTATCATAATGCTTGCATATATTAAACACAAAATAGGATAACTTTATTTAATATAATCATATTTATAATATTATCTTATCTTACTTATTATATCTTATGTACCAAATATAACCTCAAAAACTAGCCAAGTTTAAGTTCGGCTTCTTCACTTAAGTCCATATTATTTATATTTATTATTAAAATATTAAAACATTTTAAAATATATTTAAAAATCCAATCAAATAAAAATTATCTTATAATAAAATTTGAATGGATCAAACTTAGATCTAAAAATTTTTATTCAATGAATCAAGTCAAATCAAATTCGTAAATCTGGCAGACCACTTGATAAGTAGATCAGTCCTAAGGGCAAATCAACTTATGCCAAAATTCGAAAGTAATTTTTTGTTCAAAGGAATTAAAAGAAACGTAACATACAAGAATAGTCTCATATAGTATGGAGACAATTAGAGATAGAATACTGATGAAATTTTACATCTGTTACTGATCATTAGATCTTAAATGAACAATTTTTCAATTATTAATTCATATGAGCAAGCTTATACTTGAAGATAATTTAATATAGTCTAAAAAAAATACACAGACGCACATTCCATTTGGGGTTATAAATTATCAATTTTAACATAAAATAATAAATTAAATTAAATTAAAAATTATTTTTATTTTTTCTCAACTAAAATTTGAGATCATAATTGATATTAAACTTGTGTAACGAAATAAGATGATTAATATATTAATGTTTTCAAACTAAATAAAATTGAGGATATTACTTTTAACAAAGGTATTTTTTATTTTAAAATATTTAAAAAGTAAAAATAAAATGGGATAAAAGATAATTATAAGGACTGAACATCAGAAGAGTCGTGCGTGGAAAGGAGTAACATAACGAAACCCCTATATAAAGCCTCGAATCTCCTCACCCATATCCCCATTCGTAGAATAGAACATTCTTCATCACCTCTCAATAACTCAAACCCTAGCCACATTTACAATTATAGGTTGGTATTTCCCTCTTTCATATTAATTTTTTATAGGGTTTTCCCTCTTTTCTGTTTCTTGAGAAAGACCAAGGGTAAAGAATATATAGATTTCCTTGATGGTCTAATAAATTAGGGTTTTGCCTACTTTAAAAATTACAGAAGAAAAAAGAAATCTTATTCTGATGAATTTTGATCTTCTCTATTGTTTCCTCATAATATGTGTTTTTGTTTTTAAATTCTAGAATATCGATCACATGCTTTATGGTGATAGGCTTAGTTAATTCAGATTTTAAAAACAATTTTATATTGAGGTGCGTTAGGGTTTAGAGATAATGTATTATACCAGCTTTTTTTACTTATTGTAGATCTCGGTTTCTCAAGGATTCAGATTTTATTTTATTATTATTTTTTTTTTCGCTTTGTCTTGCCATCATCAGTTAGAGTCTCAGGGATATTAGTTGATTTGAGTGAGGTTTTGTTTTCTATTTCAGATGGATTCGGAGGTTTCAACTGTTCATCATATTTTAGAAATTAAGAATATATATATATGTATATACATGTGTGTGTATATATATATATTAGAAGCAAAGAATATGCAATTTAGTGCATTTGACACTTGTTTTTGTCCGTCTTTTTTTTTCTTGATTATAACAATAATTATTTACGTGATATATGATGTTAAGAAAACTTTTTTTTTTTTGTCTTTTCCAGGGGTTGGAATTTTTGTTCTATTAATTACCAAATTTGAACATATTTGCGATGGCCTCTAAAAGGATCACCAAGGAATTAAAAGACCTGCAGAAGGATCCTCCTGTTTCTTGCAGTGCAGGTTTGTTTCAGTCCCCTTTTTTTTTTTAATTTTCTTCTGTTTTCGTTGCTTAATTTTGTTTAAACATCGAATATTAGTACACATATAGTTTCTTTACTAAGAGCAATATTCTCTAAATTCATCAACTGGAATTTTCTTTGAGGACAATTTTTGTAGACAAATTAGTTAATGTGAGATATATAAATTCATTTGTTTCTGTCTTGTGCTTGTTTACAGGTCCTGCTGGAGATGACATGTTTCACTGGCAAGCAACAATTATGGGTCCAGCAGATAGCCCTTATGCCGGTGGGGTGTTTTTGGTGTCAATTCACTTTCCTCCTGATTATCCATTCAAGCCTCCTAAGGTAACAAAGCAACATAACTGATTATATCTAAATTAACAAAAGAATATAAGAATTAGACTATGATTACTGTCCTATAAACGGATGAGTTATTGAAGTTTTAAAACTACTAGCGATGTTTTGGTCTCAGTGCATGTATATATTTATGCAAGCCAACTACTTAATTTGATATCGTTTTCACATTGTTGAAGGCAAGTTGCGATTAAGCAAACTACGTTTAGAAGGATTATAATATTGCAATTGAATCTTACTAATGTGTTTGCTGCACAGCTATCCTTCAAAACAAAAGTTTATCACCCCAACATCAACAGTAATGGTAGCATCTGTCTTGACATTTTGAAAGAACAGTGGAGCCCTGCCCTTACAGTTTCAAAGGTAATTTCATCGTTACCCTTTTGGTCTTTTCATTTAATTATTTTCACCTTTACATCAGTACAGATATAGTGCTTATATGTGATGGCATTGTAACGATTCACCTTTCTAAACTTGGTGGTCATGAACCAAAATTTTGCAGGTCTTATTGTCGATATGTTCCTTGCTGACGGATCCAAACCCAGATGATCCTTTGGTACCAGAAATTGCACATACGTACAAGACTGATAGAGCCAAGTACGAGTCTACTGCTCGCGCCTGGACCCAGAAATACGCTATGAGTTAAGACTTTGGGAGAAGATCCTGCTTTTGCCTATTACCCTTAGTTGCTAAGTGCAAACTATTTTAAATCTTTCTCATTTGTTAGAAATGAGACGTAAAGTTGTTTCTTTTCATTTTACGAAGTAATTAAATTCATTTCTATAACCTTTGCTTCATCCTTCTTGTTGTTTAAATGTGCTAATGACGATGCCTTTTCACTATGTGATAAATTCAAGTAGATTCTATGGATCGGGCTTTCACCAAACACACGCAATTGAAACCTTTGATACTTGCTTAACTTACACTCAACACTGAACGCACTTTAGTAAAACACTTAACTTTAGACTCAACAAAAAACGCACTTCAGTAAGATATAGTATTATCAGCTCATAGGCCTTTTAAATGGACGCAGAAAAGGACACCGCCCATTGCCTTACATGGCATTACATCCCCGATCACCCACTTAATATATCTGCAATGTTCAGATATTTTTGAGTGAAGTCGTTGAGAGTTGTCGCTAGAACATGATGTTTTATTTGCTGAGATTTCTTTTTTTTTTAAGAAACAAGGCCGTTACTTTGGATAAAGGAACAGGCTGCAGGTGTTGAAATTTAAACTCAAACTTATTGATTCCTACCTCTTAAGAATATAGTTACATGAACCAACTGAGCTAAGTTTTGGATTCTTGCTCTGATCTTTCTGCTACAGTCGATTGTGCTCTTTTCTGCTTTGCCAAACACCTGCACTATTTATCTTCTCACCAAATCTCTCGTACACCCTCACATCGCCTCCTCACCCTTTTGCCTCCCACTTTTGACCGGATCTTTTCTTCGTCATTAATTCGGTTTAGCCCCCATTAGGGAGGCAATTCAAATCAGAAACTGCTATAGCTGCTTCACCATTCATCAAAACATTGAGATTTAACTGCTATAGCTGCTTTAAAAGCGTTGCTTGACACTTAAATTATAAAATATATATTAACGAGTTGAGAGTGAAAACTAATATATATATATACAAAATGATGAGAAAAACCAACCATGGGAAACCAAATCCATGCAACCTTTGGGGAAAGGGATATGCATACTTTTCTACCAATCCATCCCTTTGCAAGCATCTATTCATTCTAACTCTTGATGGTTCATCCCATAACTTAGAGAACCAGGTAATGTCATAACTCATACTGCATAGATCTCTACCAATAAAAATTTAAAAAGCCATTATAAGTCTGCTACATGTTCTTTGCTTCAACTTTTAAACTTTTCTCTGTACAAAAGGATGGTGATGATAAGATATGCAAAAGCATTCGAAAGCAACAAAAACCTGCTTTGACTCTTACCCCCAAAACACATTTATCCATTCCCATTCGCTCAACAGTAAGCATCTCCTGATGGAGGTAGTTATCCCCATTCTTCAGATTCTAGGGGTTAAAGAACGTGGACCCTACCATTAACAAGCCCAGAGCTATTTGATTGGGATTAGACGGATGAGCTACGATAAGAGGAGGGTAGACCTGCCAATTTTATATAAAACAGTAGTTTGAATGGGATGAGTGGAGATACCAGAGGAGCTACTATTTGCTCTTCGTTTAAGAGTCTTTACCTGGTATTAGTAGCCTGGGTTGTGCTGTGAGATTAATTAGACATCTTAGATCTAGTGTTGTAGATGCCGGGTTGTAACCCTAATTATATTATGTTAGTTATTTTTTTTATTTTCTCCAATAATCTATTTATTTTATATTTGATTTTAGTTGAACCTTTTGTATTTTAGTTACAAGTCCAGTATAATGTAACTATGAAGCGAAAGAAAACAAAATAAGAGGAAATATAGACCTGAAAAATAAAATAGAAAAGGATAGAGGGGAGAAAAGTGAAAGTAAGAAGAAACAATGGTTCTTTGACTTGTGAGAAAATGCAAATTTTATGTTTAAATTACTCTACCTAAATGAATAAGTCTGATGCATTTTGAAGTGAAGAAAATCATATTTTGTTTGTTGTTTACAAAATTAAATGTTAGTTATGTTTGATAGTTGGTTGTGTAGTATTTTTTTTTAAATTTGAGTTTGCTTGATTAAAGATAGATTTTTGTGTGAATTAGTGCTAGAAATGTGCGCAATTAAGGTGAAAAGTTGTGATTTTGGTGGTTCATTATAGTTTGGTTTATTATGTTTCAAAAAGTTTTATGGAGTGTGTGTTCTAAGGGTTTGTGAAAATGCCTCTTAGGTTTTTTCTCTGAACAAAAGTGATATGGGAGATTGTGGTTTGTTTGTATTGAATCCTTGGTGAAGTTTACCATGGTCTTCCATTTGGGGCTTTTTGATTAGTATGTCAATTTATTGTTGATTTTGGTGAAGTTGGTATAATGATGGCTAGTAACTTCTTGCAACCCTAAATTCCCATGTTAGTTAAGAACAATTATGATAATTGGAGTATATAAATGAAAGGATAAGAGTTTCAAGATTTATTAGAAATTATTCACATGGGGTTTGCAGAACATAGTGAAAAAGAGGATAGACTAATGGAGGCTTTAATGACTAATGTTAAGGATGTAAGGAAGAAAGATAAGAAGGCTTTTTGTGCTTTACTAAGCAATTGATGAATCAAACTTTAAAAGGATCTATATGATCACAATTTTTAAAAAGTCATGAGATATCTTTAAGAATTCACATAAGGGTTGGTAAGGTTGTGAAAGTTTGCCTAGAAATGTTAAGGAGTTAATTTGATGCCACATCTATGAATGAGAATGAAACCATTTTGGAGTACTTTGGAAGAGTGTTGACTATAGTGAATGAGATAATGAATGGTTAGAAGCTTGTGATGTTCTAGTTATTGAAAAGCTTTGAGAAAATAACAGTGATTGTTAAAGAAACGAATGACTTAGAGGTTATAATGGTCAATGAATTGATGGGAACATTGTAAGTGCATGCACAAAGATTAGACAAAATGGTGACTAGCTCTATGACCAAGCTCTTCACACTAAGCATACTTTGGATAAAGATAGAAAGAAAGTTGGTACTTGAAGTGCTTAAAGAGGAAGAGGTAAAAGTTAATGCAAATAGAGTTCTTCATAATGAAGGTGGTGGCGAAGGTTATGATGATCAAGAAAGAGGTTTTATAGGTACAGATAAAATAAAAAGGTGGACAACATCTACCATGACATGCTTCAAGAGAAAGAAGAAGAGGTAAAAATGTTAACAACTTCATCAACTCTTGAAATCGGCAAGCCTATGACAAAAGAAAGATTCAATGCTATAATTTCTATAAATATGGGCATTATAGTAATGAATGTTAGGGTGGAAAAGCTAATAAGCAAGCAAACTATGTTAAGACGAACAATGGTAATATGGTCTCTACTTTATTGTTCACTTTGAATGGAATTATTATGGATAAAAGCAACATTTAATATCTTAATAATGCAGCTAGCAACTAAATGATCAGAAATAAGAATATCTTTATAAAGTTGAATGAAATAATGAAAAGCAATGTCACTATTGGAGATGACCCCAAAGTTTAAGTGAATGGCAATAGTAACATTGTTATCTAACTTAAGAATGGTTCTCATTTCATTTATGATGTTTACTATATTTTTTCTTTGAAAAAGAACATTTTAAGTTTGGGGTAGCTTTTGGAAAAAAGTTATGTGATACATATGAAGAATAGTCTTTTCATTATAAAGGCTAGAATGAAAAGGTTGTTACTTTTGTGAAGATGTTAAATATAATTCTTTCATTTGAATTTGCAATATGATGAAGTTCATTGTTTGAGTTTTATTATCCAAAATAAGTCTTGATTGTGGCACTTAAGGTTGAGACATTTTAATTTTGATGGATTGAGAACTTTGATAATAAAAATATAGTAAAACGATTGCGTCATATTGATCATACCAATCAAATTTGTGGAAGGGTGCACTCTTGGCAAACAAAATAGGCTAAGCTTTTATAAAGAGGTTAGGTGGAGAGCAATTAGGCCTTTGGATCCTTTGCACACCTTTGGAGGCTTTGCACATTAACATTTGTAGTGCTTTGAAATAATGTCAAATAGAAAGAATAGATACTTTTTTGCTTTCATTGATGACTTAGTTAAAAGATGTATTTTTGGAAGAGGAAGTTTGACTTATTAGAAAAATTCAAAAAAAATGTTTTGATGTATTTCATCATAATGAATGTGGTGGCAGAGGTTATGATGATCAAGGAAGAGGTTTTCTAGGTAGAGGTAGACTAAGAGGTGGACAACATCTATTATAGCATGCCCTAAGAGAAAGAGGTAAAAATGATGGTAGCTTCATCAACTTTCCAAACCAACTAGCTTATGACAAAAGAAACATTCAATGCTATAATTTCCATAAATATGGACATTTTAGTAATGAATGTTGGGATTATAAAGTTAATGAGCAAGCAAACTATGTTAAAAAGGATTATGATGCTATGGACTCTACTTTATTTTTCATTTTTAATGGAATTGTTATAGCTAAAAGCAATACTTGATATCTTAATAATGTGGCTACCAACCACATGACTAAAAGTAAGAATGTCTTTGTTGAGTTGAATGAAGTGGTGAAAAGCAATGTCACTTTTGAAGATAAATACAAATTAAGTTCAAGTGGAAGTAACATTCTCCTCAAACTCAAGATTGGTTGACATGATTTCATTTTCGATGTTTACGACATTCATTTTTTGAAAACTAACATTTTGATTTTGGCACAATTTTTTAAGAAAAAGTTATGTGATACATATGAAGAAAAGTATTTTCACTATAAAAGATTGGAATGGACAGTTGATTTCTTTTGTGAACATGTCAAATAGAAAGTTTTGCTTCAATTTGCAATATGACGAACTTCATTATTTAAGTTATATTATGAAGATAAGGCTTGGTTGCGGCACTAAAGGTTTGGGCATCTTAATTTTGATGGATTAAGAACTTTAGCAAGTAAGAAATGGTTAAACGGTGGCCTCATATTGATCTTCCCATCCAAAATTGTGAGTGTGAATTCTTAGCAAACAACATAGGCTATATTTCGCTAAAGAGATTAGGTGGATAG